AAAAGACAGTTTATAGAAAGCCATTTTTCATCTTTCATGTAGAAAAGTCACAAAATAGAACTGAGCAAAAAATGCCCATCACCTCTGTATTTATAAATAACTGGTACTTACATTTTTTGTATTCACATACCTACTTACATGCATGCCCACAGTGATATTTGTAAAATTTTACCAAAAATGAGAATATTCTGGAATTCTGTTTATTTTCTGTTCCTATTTATTCAAGATCAAATAAAATGGTATTTTTATATATCAGTAAAAGCCTAATATGATTTTAAATTATTGGCTGGTAGCCCTGTTTATCCTATTATCTTTGTTTTCGTTAATGTAAGCATACTGGAATAATTGAGTAATAAAGTCTATATATATTTACCTAAAGATTTATTTAGGTTATATTACTTAAGTGAAGTATCCTGGTTACTTTAAAAAGCCTATATGTTTTTATTGCTGTAATTCTGTTTATTACTTTGAGTATCTTTCACTGTTTTCTAGTTTTGTTACCATCATGCTACACATTTATATAGAAAGTCTCAGAAATAGAACAGTCTCTCTCCTAATCTTTGCTTTTAAAATAAATGCTCAGTATGTATCTGGTCAGCTTATCCTTTATGCATATAGAGCCAGGTATGGTGGTATATTCCTGTAATCCTAGCACTCAGAGTGCTGAGACAGAAGGATTGGTGCAAGTGAGTTCAAAGCCAGTCTAGACTACTTTGCCAGATCCTATCTCAAACAAATAACAAAGAATTATGCATACAGTTAAGGTGGGTGGGCACATGCCTGTTATCTCTGCTACTGGCAGGAGGGTTGCAAATTTGAGGCCACCCTGGACATGTTATCAAGATCCCATCTCAGCAGAGGGCTGAGGATATACCTCAGTGCTCTCTGGGTTCAATTTGTCCTACACATAAAAAAAGTATAAAATATTTTGCCTTCAAACATCTCAATAGTTTCTCCTACCTTGATATTTCTAGATGAGCAGGGCTTTTTTTTTTTTTTTTTGGTACCAGGGATAAAACTTGGGCCCTTGCGCTTGCGAGGCAGGCACCAGAACCTCTGAGCTCGATCCCCGGCCCCCGTGCAGGGCATTTTAACTGAAATAATTATTTGAAATACCTGAGACCAAAATCATATAGTTAATATTCAATTAGGCAATGTTAGTTAAAGCCTAAATTAGTTACATGGCAAATATATTTTCACAAGTTTTAACTGGATTTTAAAATAGTTATTTCTTAAAGAAGATAAAGTAAGAACTGGGTGCCGTGGTGCATGCTTATAATCCTGGTACTGTGAAGGCTGAGGCAGAAGAATCAAAAGTTCAAGGCTAGCCTGGGCTACATAGTTGAGTTCAGGGCCAGCCTGGACTGTACAATGAGACCCTGTATCCAAAAAAAAAAAAAAGATACCAAAAGTTCTTTAATTTTGATACTCCGGAGAAAGTTTATAATTTTCAGTTGTTATTGACAATTTTGACTTATCTGTAATTTTTACATATCAAAAAGAATATTTGAGTGCATGGGTGTGTATAAATAAGACATTGTAAAGAAATACTTAAAGGCTTTTATGTAGCTACAGTGACTTTTTCCCCTTCACAATACGACAATCAAATTTTGTACCATGATAAAGTATTATGAAGTCAGTATGACTTAGTTTAGAGATAGAATGCTATGTAGACTATATTTAATTTCTTGGCTTATTTATAACTACTAATAGCTTCCTATTTTTAAAAATCACAATAAACTTATATTTTCACAGAAATTTACTTGTTGCCAAATGCTTCTATTTGTATTATCTCTCTTAGTCCCCAGGATACTTGCATGAAACTAGTGTCCCCTCATTTTATAAAAGCAAAAACTGAGTCAGAGAAATTGAGGAAATCTAAATTTACCTGGAAGTTATAAAATCAAATCTAGGACCCCATTATTAAAAGCATTAATAATTAATCCCAATTGCTTGGAAGGCTGAGTGAGACCAGAAGATCACGACTTTGAGACCGGGCAACTAACTAAGAAGCTGTCTAAAATTTTTTAAAATTAAGCATGTCTGAGAATGTACTTTAGTGCCATTTAGAATCAGTTTTGATTGGTTCATTTCATTTTTGGGTTATTGTTTTGTTTTGTTTTGTATTTTTAGTCTTGTTTGCTTCCATTTTTATTTACAAGAATTCTTTGCCTGTGATGATTTTTAAAGATGAGTCAGGTTTGTTTTGTGCTGTGGCCTAAAACAAATATTTGTCTCTAACTTAAAGTGAGCACTTTGTCTAAAAAAAACAAATATAAATTTAATAAAAACAAATATAAAAACTAATATAAACTAGGGCCAGGGATTTAGCTCAGTGGTTGGGTGGCCTGCCTTGCAAGTGCAAGGACCCAAGTTCAATCCCCAAAAAAAAAAAAAAAAAAAAAAAAAAAAAAAAAAAAAAAAAAAACTAATATAAACTAGGTGTGGATAGCATATACTTATAATTACAGCACTCTGGGAGGCTGAAGCAGGAGGCTCACAGTTTAGCAAGTGAGGTCCTATCTCAAAATTTTAAAAAATTAAAGAGGGCTGGAACTGTTGCAAAGGGCCTGAGGCTCAATCTTGCAGTGTAGTGGGGTGTTAGTGTCATGAATTCTAGAATGGCCAAAAAAGGAGCTTACTGTGCTTTTCCTAAAAATCAACTGTACAGCTGTCTATATATGTATATGTATATGTATATGTGTGTGTATAAGTATATATTTTTATACCTACATATTTAGTATTTTTACATTGTATTACTTTAGTTTCACTTTCTTCAGTTTACCCTATATAAAATTATTAAACAACTGTTTCAGGGCTCTAAACTAACCAAAGAAATAAAGCAAATTGAGATACATTTGAGAAAATCTAAACCTTGGTCAGAATAGGAGGTCTGTGGTGATGTATCCTGGAGCTACTTCTATTCCTTCCCATCCAACAAGTCAGCATCATAGTTCTTTGAAGGTAGGACAGATTTGAAGTAGAATAGCAAGTGTAACTAGCTTAATGTGTTCTGGCACAATGTTGTCCAGTCATTAGCTGATTACATTGTTAGGTTCACTCCAATAAAGCTAGGTAGGCCTAAAAATAAAAACAAAAATTAAGTAAAAGAAAATTGAGAAGAAATTGAGCAGGTTTACACTGTAAGACACTATGCTAGAAAACACTATAGAATTAGTCCAGAAAGAACAAGGGATGGTGGCTCATACCTATAATCCATGCATTCTGGAAGGCAGTAGAATCACAAGTTCAAGCTCAGACTGAACAATTTAGAGACTTAGTGAGGCACTGTCTCAAAATAAAAATGTAACGCAATACAAAGGCCCTGGGTTCAAACCCCAGTAAGTCTGAATTCAGAGTTGGTGAAATATATTATCAAATTTGGTCAGTTTTCAACAGGAAAAAAATTATGAGGCATGGAATGGAACAGGAAAATGTGACTCATATATGGGAGGTGAGTGGGAGCATTAGTAGAATGGTCCCAAGTGTTGAGCATAGCACCCAAAGACTTCAGTGTAGCTATTTACAGTATCAACATAAAAATCTCAGAGAGAAGAAAGAAAAGGGGGTAGAATATTTGAGGAAATAATTGCTTAAAATGTCCCAAATTTGATAAAAGACATTAATGTACACATTCAGAAATCTTACCCAATTTCAAGAAAGATAAACTGAAAGAGGTGCACACTGAGACACATAATGAAATTGTCAAAAGACAGAATTTTGAAAGTAGCGAGAAAGAATATATTTATCACATATGAGAAATTTCTCTGTATTTATCGCATTAAAAAGCATGAAATTCAGAATTGAGAGGGATATTTTTACTAAAGAGCTAAAAGGAAAAAACAAAACAAAACTCCTAAGAGCTCTCTATCCAACACAACATCCTTCAGAACAATTTGGACTCTGCAGTGGATTCTTAGCTATGACACCAAAAAGAATGAACAACTAAAGAAAAATATAAATTGGGCCTCATCAAAATTAAAAACTTTTTGAGGGTGGGTACCTGGGATCAAACTCCGAACCCTGTGCTTACAATGCAGGCACAGTGCCCCTGAGCTAAATCCCCAGCAAAATTGAAAACTTTTGAGCCAGGCATGGTAGTGCAAGCCTGATTTTGAGTTTGAGGCCAACCTGGGCAGTTTAGGGGAGACTGTGTCTCTAAAAATAAAAAGGCCTCATCACTCCTGCCTCGCAGTCACAAGATCCTGAGTGCAATCCTTGCTACCTCAAGGGGAGGTGGATAGGGCTGAGGATATAATTCAGTGGTGGAGTGCTCTTGGTTTCATTCCTCAGTACAAAATAAAAGGGAAAAAATTGTAAACTTGGATATTAAAAAATAATCTAACAATTTAAAAAGATAACTTACAGAATGAGAGACAAAATTTGCAAATCATATGTGGTAACATTCTAGTAACCATAATATCTAAACTTAGTGCAATCGGAATGCAACCTAATTAAAAAAATGGAAGCATGAAAATGGAATTGAATGTCAGTTTCTCTGTGGAAGATGTTTGGATGATTTAGCAAGCACCTTAAAAAGATGTACAGTATAACTAGTTACCAGGGAAATACAAATCAAAACCACAATGAAACTTTACTTCTTACCCTCTGGGATGGTTATAATATAAAAAATGCAATGTGGAACAGTTGGAACCCTGGGTGGAAACATAAAATCGTACAGACATTGTGGAAAACGTGGTATTTCTTCAACATAGGATTTCTAAGTAACCCAACAGTTCCACCTCTAAGTACAACCCAAAAGAAATGAAACTAGATACCCAAATACTGGCACATGTTTCTAGCACCACTACTCACAGTAACCAAAAAAGTAGAAACAATCTGTATATTCATTTGTGGAAGAATGGATAAACAAGAAGTAGTATACATATACCAGAGATTATTATTCAGCCAGTAAAAGGACTAGAGTAGTGGTACGTGCTGTAATGTGAATGAGCCTCACAAATATGCTAAATGAAAGAAGATAGAGGGACAACCCCACAATGTGGGCAGCTGGACATTGCCCGAGCTTGGGAACAGCTCCACCACCATCTGCAGGCCCTATGCCTGCCTCCTGTGACCATGAGACTGATCAGCTGACCCCATACCCGGGACTGCACAGGTGGGAGGCAGACCAGCATTGGCGTGGGATCCTGTGGTGTGGGAAAATCTTGCAGAAATGTCTTATCAGTTGCTTGAAGATTTGATTTTTTTGTTTGTTTGTTTGGTTGGTTGGTTTTTTGTTGTTGTTGTTTTTTGAGACAGGGTCTCACTATGTAGTTGAGACTGACCTGGAACTTACTATATAGCCCAGGCTGCTCTCGAACTCAGCGTGATGTCCTGCCTTAGCCTCCCAAGTGCTGGGATTACAGGTGTGCACCACCACGCCTGGCTAAGATTTGAAAGTATACAGAGTAATTCAGGCTCAAACTGCCTTTTCTTCAAACCCTGCCAACCCAGCAATTTTGTCAGAAGCTTCTGCCCCCATTTCACAAGATGGAAATCTCTATCCCAAACTGTATCCGGAGCTTTCTCAATACATGGGCCTGAGTTTAAATGACGATGTACATGCTGTGGCCCCTGGAACACCAATTCAGGGGCAATTGGTAGCAAGACCTTCCAGTATAAACTACATGGTGGCCCCGGTAACAGGCAATGATGTTGGAATTCGTAGAGCAGATATTAAACAAGGGATTCACGAAGTCATTTTGGGTAAGGATCAAGATGGGGAAATTGGGCTTAGGCTTAAATCAGTAGATAATGGTATATTTGTTCAGCTAGTCCAGGCCAATTCTCCAGCTTCATTGGTTGGTCTGAGATTTGGGGATCAAGTGCTCCAGCTCAATGGTGAGAACTGTGCAGGCTGAAGTTCTGATAAAGCACACAAGGTGCTCAAACAAGCTTTTGGAGAGAAGATTACTATAACCATTCATGACAGGCCCTTTAAGCGGGCATTTATGCACAAGGATAGTACTGGACATGTTGGTTTTATCTTTAAAAATGGAAAAATAGGGCTGGAGATTTAGCTCAGTGGTTCCACTGCCTGCCTCGCAAGAACAAGGACCCAAGTTCGATCCCTGATACCAGAAAAAAAGGAAAAATAGCATCTATGATAAAAGATAGTTCTGCTTCCTGAAATGGTGCTCTCACTTAACATAACATCTGTGAAATCAGCAGACAGAATGTCATTGGATTGAAGGATTCTCAAATAGCTGATATATTTTCAACATCTGGGACTGTAGTTACCATAACAATCATGCCTGCTTTTATCTTTGAACATATTATTGAATGGATGGCACCAAGCATTATGAAAAGCCTGATAGATCACACCACTCCTGAGGTTTAAAAGTCTTAGTACAACAGAAACACAGCTGAACCCCAGTTCCCTTCTTTGGCAACTTCTGCGTTCTTCTAGGAGCTTTCCTAGAGCCAGGGAACATACGCTGCATGAGGACCTTTCCATCTTGCATCATGGCTGGGAATCTTAACAGTTTCATCTGATACCTTCTTCAGATTTCAAGACAATTGTAGCATTAACTTGGTTTTACACATGTGAAACTTTCAGACTTACTGACTTTCCTAGGATAGTCTCTCTACTAGAAACCTGATGCTTTTATAAATTGTGATTAGGATGATAGATGCAGGCTTAGCTTTGCATGAGAACCAGTCATATTTCTCTTAGGTAAAGCATAGTGCTGTTCATACTTAGTTCCATGGTATCATTGCATTTTTAACACTTCACCATAGTATATTTAGTATGACTGCCTTAAGTTCTCTATGTGTAAAGCACCAATTAAGTTACACTGGTTTCATTTCATATAAGAATTATACAGTGCATGCAGGTTGTAAGAGATGATGATTGTGTATAAATTTTAGCTACCTTCACTTAATGTGCCTGACTGTTACCATAACTATGATAAGCATCTAGAATAAAAGCCAAAATGTAATTATTGCTGCCTTTCTAAAGCCCAGAATATAGTTCTGTATTACACTGAAATGTACACTAGCCCAAAACAGTTTACTGATACTTACTGAACCATAACATAGCTGCTTATAGTTGCGATTTTCTAGTCATTGCATAGTGGAAAATTCTTCTAAAAGTTGCCAGTATCCCTTTCTGAAAAACAAATTATGATATATTTCATGTGAAAAATTCTTATATTAGCTAGGATGAACTTTGCACTCTTTTTCCTTTGTAGATTAAGTGAGATAATAATTTTAGTATTTGAATCTTAACCTGTAGCCTAGCTACTTTGGGATGGCCTTAGAATGTTTACCTGTTAATTCGTTACTTTTTCCTCCCTGCAAAAAAAATGACAGTGACAGTTTGTCCTTTTTTCCCCTTCATTTTGTTTTACACTATCCAATTAAACATGTAAAAATTTTAAAAATAAAGAAGATAGACATAAAGGTCATGTAGTGTATTCCATTCATATGAAATAGCCAAAATAGGTAATTCCGTAGGTATAGAAAACTGATTAGTAGGTGTTAAGGCCTTGGTGGAAGTGAATAATAGGGAATGGCTATTTATTGGATGACTTTTTCATTTAGACTATATGAACATTTTTAGAATTTAACAAAGGATATGGTTACACAGCATTTTCATTGTACTAAATACCACAAATTATATGATTTACAATAAAGGATTTGATAGCTGAGGGTGGTGGCACACAACTGCAATCCCAGTACTGAAGAGGCTGAGGCAGGAGGACCACCACAAGTTTGAGGCCAGCCTGACCTACGTAGTGAGACCCCCGTCAAAGACCCAAAATAAATAAAATAAAGGGCTTGAACTTGTGATTCTCCTGCCTCAGCCTCTAAGGCTTTCATCACCACTCCCAGCCCTTTCTAAAATTTCAATGATAAGTTGTGGCTCTTGGCCTGTTTCACACGACTTCATTTCATGTATTGAATTTCTTTTGTATGCACAGAGGGTGGTTAGAACGAGAAAGCAGGTATGGTCTGCAGCCAGGACACAATTGGTTTATCATCTCCATGCAGTGGTGGCAACAATGGAAAGAATACGTCAAATACGTGAGTTAGACTCCTGTTTATCTGCGTTTCTATGAGAAGTTCAACTCCATCAGACTCTGTGTGACTTTGGGCCAGGAATGAAATGTTTCAGCTGAAAGGTTTGAAGGGAAAGAATTAAAACTTGTGTGTTATTTGCTACAAGATGGGCTGTGTGCAAACACTTCCACATAAATCTCTTGCCTTTAAGAAAGGTACTGGGCACAGGGGCACCTGTATGTGTCAAGCACTTCATAGCTCACTTAATTCTCATGCTATCTCTGTAAGGAAAGTGATAGCACATCCATTTTTACCTGTGACAAAGAAACTTGGTGCTGAGAGAGAAGGTGACCTAAATATCCCACTCAGGGTAGATCCTGGATTGAACTTCAGGACTAACTCTTAAAGCCTGAATTCTCTAAACTGCATAATTTATATTGTCCTTAGTTAGATCACTTTCTCCATTAAATAGTGAAAGACCCTTCAGTAAGAAGTGTTGATTATTCAAAATATTTCACTTCATAAATAATACTAGAATTCAGAATTGCTACAAGGTAATCTATCATTGTTTAATTTTGGGTTTTTTTGGTGGCGTACCGGGCATTGAACTCGGGCCCTTGCGCTTGTGAGGCAGGCAGGTGGAACCACTGAGCTAGATCTCTCCCCACCCTTTTTCCATTGTTTCAAATAAAGAGTTAAAGAAAAATTCTCATTATTAAATATTTTAGCTGCTGGGCATAGTGGCGCATGCCTGTAATCCCAGCTCTTGGGAGACTGAGGCAGGAGGATTGTTGTGAGTTCAAGCCCAGCCTGGGCTATATAGTGAGTTCCAGGTCAGTCTCAACTACATAGTGAGACCCTGTCTCAAAAAACCAAAAAATATTCTAGCTAGGGGGAGGTGTAAGGGATGAAAAAAGAATTAAGATGTGTTATGTGCATGTACTGAGTACCCATGATGAATGTAATTATTACATACTGCAGATATATACTAATAAAAATAAAAGTTTTAAAAAATTAAGTAAAACAATTTTTTTCAGAATTAGAAAACTAATAATCCAATGTCTCTGCCTATGGAAACTTAATTGGTGTACAGACTTACTGTCATTTATCAAAATACTAAAGTTCTAATAATTTGATTCATATTTTTCTCTATCCTATTCTGTCACTGCTTATTATCAGAATATTGGTAGTTAGATGAGCTTTTTAAATCATCTACTCTATCATTCTTCCTTATTCTTTTTCCCATTCATAGAGTTTAGTAGTATGTTTTCCAATGTAAAATTTATTAAGTGGCAAACATGGACTTTGGTGTCTCTGAAGGAATAAAAGGAGGCAGGAGATTTTGAGGATCTCACAGGTAGGCTTATATAGGTAGATAATTTTGAATGTGGTTTAAAAAAACATTATGCCAGGCATGGTGGCACATGCCTATAATCCCAGCACTCGGAGACTGAGGCAGAAGGATGGAACATTGCGAGTTTGAGGCCAGCCTGGCCTACATATCGAGTTATGGACAGCCTGAACTGCCTGGTGAGTCCCTGTCTCAAAAAACAAAAACAGAACATAAAAAAGAAAATGAAAACATTAGAATAAAGCTTCAGTCTTTATTTTGAAATGCTTTTTGGTCTTTATATTCTTAGTTTGGCATTAGTAGTTATTAATGTCTTTACTGAGTATAGGCTGAAAGAATAGTCTGATTTCATTTTAAATGTTTTTTCCTCTAGAAACACAGTGGAGGTCTTTATCTCAGATTGTGATCTTTGCAAATAGAGTGCACTGACAGGAGCATGAACTTCATATGTTCATGCCTGCCACATCCTACATATATTCCTCTCCCCACTCTGACATCGTATATTGTTTAGTATGTGTATGTCAGTTATAGGCTTTAAGATCCATTTCAAAATGAAGACTGTTGTGAGAAACCTGAATGTATTGGTTTGTACAGAGAGGAAGGAAATAGAAAACTATGAGAGCTTATTTAATATGATGTGGAAAAAAAAATGTGAGTACTAGAAGTCCTTTCTGAAAATATCTATTAGGAAAATATTCTTTACTAAATAAAAAACCTGCTGATATCTAGAATATGCAAAGAACTAAAAAAATTCTCCAAAATGTAACTTGATTAAAAAAATAGGTAATTGAAATGAACAGACCCTTTTCAGAAGTACAAATGGCCAGTAGGTACATGAAAAATGTTTAGCTTCTTTGTCCATTAGAAAATGTAAATCCAAACAACACTGATATTCCATCTTATTCCAGAAAGAACAGCTATCATCCAGAATTCAAAAAACAACAAATGCTGGAGAGGCTGTGGGGAAAAAGAACCTTTCTACATTGTTGGTAGGAATGTAAACTAGTATGCCCATTATGGAAATCAGTATGGGGGTTCCTCAAAAGATTAAAAATAGAAATTTCATTTGACCCAGGTACAGTAATACCTTGATTTGTGAATGCTTCTGTCTGCAAACTGTGTTTATGAACAATTCTGTTCACAAAATATTGCTTCCATTCTCAAACTTTGCATTGGGTTACAGACATTACAGTGGCTGTCTTCCCCACAGAAAGACAAACACAGCCATCTTCCCCAAAATCATAAAACAAAATGTTTATAAATTGAGGGACCATTGTATTCCCCTTCTAGGTGTCTTTCTGAAAGAGTTAAAGATACCATATTATAGTGATACATGCATATCCATGTTTACAGCAGCACAGCTTATAATAGCCAAATCTTGGAAGTGACCTATATGCCCATCAACAGATAAATGGATAAAGAAAATTGTGTGTGTAAGTGTGTGTGTGTGTGTGTGTGTGTGTGTGTGTGTGTGCATGTGGCCAGGGATTTAGGGATTTAGCGCAGTGGTTCCACTGCCTGCCTCTCAAGCACAAGGACCTGAATTCGATCTCTGGTACAAAAAA